CTATGTATCTAAGCAACCATAGCAACAATTATGACCTGATAACTTCCACTCCCTTGAGATGTCAGTTTGAAAGTTGTAGTCAGTCCGTAAAACAATCATATTCAAAACATAATAATTATAATAATTTAGGAACACCCTCTGAGCGGACAGGGTTACTCGACCTGAAGGTATTTCCAACTGGATCTCACCTGCAAGGTTTTTTTATTAACACCTTTCATCATATGGAGTTGTGGTGGAAGGTGTTAATAAAAGTCCAGTATAACCACCATGGCATCCAGTCTAGTACAGGCACATTCGTATATTTCTATCCACCCAAGCGTCCTTTGGTTGGTATGTTTCTCCCCCACTCAATAATAATAATAATAATAATAATAATAATAATAATAATATGCATCAGGATAAGAATCCTACGAAGAAAAAAAAAGGAAAGGCAGCAACAATTTCTAGGCACCTTCCTTGGTCCCCATGCAACATTCTGAATAATAGGTCTTTCGTGGGGTTATCCAGAGTTTTTCAAATCTGTTGTGTTTATGCTTTATAGCATTCCATATCTAAACACCTTCATATAGCTTCAGGCGGCTGAACTTTGAATGCAGGGTTATCTCCTTTCTAGACTGATTGCCAACCAAGGCTAGAGATCCCAGTCTACCCTGTTAATTAAACTATGGCTGTTGGGAGTGGTGAGAAGAAAGGGTTTCATACTTTTCAAAACAATTTTTATTTGAAAGTGAACTTAACCAGAACGAGAAGACGGCGATCAGATTTCAAGTTCTACGACGTCTAGTAATGCCTCTATCTGCACATTGAAACTTTAAATGTCGTTAATTAAGTCTGTTTTTTTCTTCTGTAAAGCGTGTAATGAATATCTAACGTCGTATTGGCAGTATTAATTTTTATGAATGGAAATGATGTTTGGTTGGGATTCCTGGAAGTCCATGCCTTAAAGAAATATAAAAAAAATTTTACTCATAAGTGCAGCTCACACATTAGGTAGAACTTTATCTATGTAAAATGTGTGTGATCTTATGTTGTTTTTTTTTGTTTTTTTTTTACAAAAACGATCAGTAATAATAATAATAAGAGGAATTTTATGGGACTTTACAAGACCCACAGTTAATCAAAGCTAATCGGCCAGACATCGTAATCAAAGATCATAAAACAGAATGTCCTTTCTTATTGACCTGCAGAAGATATTCAAAAAAAAAAAAAAAAAAAACTATCAAAATACAAGGATCTTGAAGTGAAAATCTCAAAAATGTGTCACATGAGGTCATCAATAATTCCAGTTGTAGATGGAGCACTCGGATTGATTGGAAAAGGTTCCGATAGACTCATTAAAGGGATTCCTGGTAGTTTCTGCCTTAAAGATATATAAACAAATCGTATTCACAAGTACAGTTCACACATTAGGTAGAATTTTATCTATGTAAAATGTGTGTGATCTTTTTACAAAAATGATCAGTAGAAGATGTCATGAAACCATTTCAGATCTTAGGAAATGTGAATACAACATAAACCCAAGTAAATAATAATAATAACAATAGTAGTAGTAGTAGTAGTAGTAGTAGTAGTAATAATAATAATAATATCCAGAAACGATTGATCATCTTGCATCAGGTTGTACGGTGTTGGCACCCACTGAATATAAAACCCGACATGACAGAGTGGGCCAATATCTGCACTGGAAAATCTGCAACTTCTACGGGAAGAAAACTGAAAGAAACTGGTATGAACACCACCCAGACTCGGTTACGGAGATAGGACCTGTTACAATTCTATGGGACTACACAATACACACTGACAGAACAATCAAGGCCAACCGGCCAGATATTGTTATTAAAGACCACAAACAAAAACGGTGCCTCCTTATTGATATGGCAGTCCCTGCTGACTGCAATGTATCTTTGAAGATATTCAAAAAGTTGTCAAAGTACAAGGACCTTGAAATAGAAATCTTGAAAATGTGGCATATGGGAACATCAACAATCCCTGTTGTAGTTGGAGCCCTAGGACTGGTTGGAAAAGATTGCAGTAGACTAATTGAATGGATTCCTGGAAGTTCGTGCCTCAAGGAGATACAAAAAATTGTTCTGACAAGTACAGCCCACACATTACGAAGGGCTTTATCTATGTAATTTAATTCTTTTTTTTTTTTGTCAATGGAAAGTGTCATGACGCCATTTCTAACCTTAGGTCCCTGGGCGGGACCCGGAAAGAAATGTATAAACGCCAGAAATCAAAGAAAATAATAATAATAATAATAATAATAATAATAATAATAATAATAATAATAATAGTAGTAGTAGTAGTAGTAGTAATAATAATAATAATAATAATAATAATAATAATAATAAGCACAAAATCGACATCACTGAGAGATTTTATGAGCATCAACCAGACACAGTTACCCAAAATAACGATGTAACTATCATCTGGGACATGCCAATTCAAACCGACAGAGAAATTAAAATCAACAAACCTGATATTATCATAAAAGGCAAGACATTCAGGAAGTGTATGATGCTTATTGACATCGCAGCACCAACTGAAAGAAACACCTCCATAAAAATTAGCGAAAAAATTGTCCAAATAGAAGGACCTGGAGATCGAGATTAACAGGATGTGGGGAATGAAGACTGAGTGTGTACCAATAGTAACCAGAGCTCTAGGCATCGTGAGAAAAAGAATGGACAATTTTACTAACAGTGTCCCAGGTAACATCAACATACAAGTTACACAGAAGATCGCCCTACTAGGAACATCCTATAAGTGCTATCAATTAAATAACAATTCTCCTATAGAGTCTAAGGATCATAGCTTGAACCCTGCTCTACAGGATACAAAGCAGGAAACATAACATTCACAAATAATAATAATTATAATAATAATAATAATAATAATGATAATAATAACACCATGGTTAACAACTTCGTCATGCAAAATAATTGATTTATACTATTTACATTATTCGGACTATTGTCCTCATCTTTGTTGCCATATTTATCACAACGTTTCGGCCGTTGTACGCTGCGGCCTTCTTCAGGTGGTTGGAATGTCGAACTGAACCCTTTATTTCGCTCGCTGGGTAGACTGTTCTAGTTCCACTGTGCCATGTGTCCTCAAAGACATTCAAATTTGAAATAAAAATTCCTTTATTTATGAGACGGATTTTGTCCACTTTTCGGATAAGAGGGTGGGATTTAGACCGTTGAGTTTTTGCCCGGTTACCACTTTTAACTGACGTTTATGAAACTGAAGATGTCATTTCAAAAAAGAAATTACTCACCATTTTTTAAAAAATCTATCTATCTATCTATCTATCTATCTATCTATATATATATATATATATATATATATATATATATATATATATATATATATATCAACGTTTGGCATATTTTTTTCTTTAATAGAAAAATTATTTACTATAAAAGGGTACTGCTGAAAGGTACGTTAAAGGTTAATCTAACCAAAATTGCACTCAACAATCTAGTGATGTAATATTGAGAGAGAATTTGTTATTATATTTTTGTCTTATATTATATATATAATTATATATATTATATATTATATATGTATTATGTATTATATTTTTAGTCTTTTCAAGTTATAATGAAAAATTGATTCTGCGCCGGATATATAGACCTGAAAAAATAATGCCGTATTTCTTTTTCTTTTAAATATCATGTCTCTTCAGCACATAGGCGATCATGACTCTCCACAGATTCCATTTCTTTATTATCTGTGAATTACCATGCATTACTAGAAAGGACAGTGGAGTGGTTTCCCGTTACCTTCTCCACGGTTTGAAATTCACAGTATTCCTTGCCGTCCAAGGCTAGTAAAACCAAGCCTACTGTTATTTAACCCATAGTTAGAGGCGAGGTGAGAAGAGATGGATTTATTTATGCTAAAGGCGTTTGTGAGAGTGAACTTAATTAACTAGGCCAGTATTTGAACTCGACTCACTGATTTCAATTTCCGTCTCGATATTGTTATACTAATGACATATACGTGACATTAATATGTCGAAAAAAATATGTGGCGTGGGGAACGTAAAAACTTTATCAATTTCGATTGTATATGACAATCACTTTTATTTATTGTCCTGTCTTTGCTTTTTAGATTAAAGATGCGTCAATAAAAAAATAAAAAATAAAAATTTAAAAAAAGTAGATACCCAGACATTAACCTACATTTGCCGTAAGGTTTTATCGCTTTTCCGATTCTTAAATTGTATATAAGCCTTATCGATAAAATGGAGATCAGTTTCTTTAAATGATCTGCAGAATGGAAAACTTTCAAGTCTTATTTTTTGTTAAATAATAATTTTTTTTTTACCAAGCGATGTTATAAAGCATTTTTAGCATATATTTTATTTTTTACCGGATCGTATATCTGAATTTACATATTTTTTTCTTTAAATCAACTTATTTGTATTTGATTTTCCTTCAAAAATTGTTTAAATTAAAACATTCTGGAGACTTATCGCAAATATTAATTCATCCCAAGAAATTATATATTTTAGATCAGACTGTGCTTGTTTTTTTGTTTTTTTTATTCAATTTTTGGCACTCATTTGAAACTATAAGTTTTAAATCAAAATGTGTTTAGCTTGCCTCACAACAACTCCAACAGTCAGAATGAAAAATTACCAAATATCAGAGAGTTATTCACATTTTGTAAGTGCGGATAATATTCGAGGTACTTACAAGGAAAATAAATTAAAAAAAAAAAAAAAAACTGTTTTGGTGTTGTTTATTGGGGTGATCGTGAAGATAGACCCCACACTTAGAAATAACGCACCCGAGTCGCCCACGTTTGGGGCGATTGCAAAACTCTACCCAACCAGAATGCAAGGGAAGGGCCTCGCTCTGAGAGAATTTGGTGTGCATTTTAGTAAATATATATATATTTTATTTTGGTGTGAATTAATATTTTGGAGTGAATTAACAGTCAACATTCTTTTACAAAACAAGATGAATAACAAAATGTATAAATTAATTATATTTACCATGGAATATAAAATGATTGACGACGCACGAAGCACATTCATCATCATCATCAAAAGTATAATATTTATCTGAATTTGTACTTAATAATAAGAACTGACCAAAAAGTTTAAAAAAATATTGATATATGAAACTGAAAATGATCATCGTACCCATTTTTAATCAGACGCTTAGAATTGTCCTGAAGACTCTTGTAAAAAAAGGACGCGAAGAATTGTTGAAACTATTTAAATATTGATATTATATTACTGAACTCAGAGAGATTACAGAGAAGAGTGCGGTAATATTGAAAAGATATGTTGCCACTTGATCTCCAACGAGAAATACAACGTATTGTTGACATTGAAACTAATACAATAATAACAGGCTAAATTTAAAGGAATAAAAATTAGCCTACACCATATTACTGGTCAAATGGGCTTCCATTATTCCAATAATGTTCACAGTACTGGGAACGTTGACGGAATAGAAAAACAGTTAAAAATCAAATAAGGCGAGCGTAAGTAGAAATAATTGATTGATTTGGACTTGTAAAAACTTAGAGAAATAATAATAATAATAATAAAATCGAAATCTCAAAAAATGTGGCACATGGGAACATCAACAATCCCTGTAGTAGTTGGAGCCCTATGATTGGTTGGAAAAGATTCAAGTAGACTAATTCAAGGGATTCCTGGAAGTCCATGCCTCAAAGAAATACAAAAAAAAATTGTTCTCATAAGTACAGCCCACACTTTACGAAGGGCTTTATCTATGTAAAATATATTTTTTTTTTTTGTCAGTGGAAAGTGTCATGATGTCATTTCTAACCTTAGGTCCCTGTGCGGGACCCGGAAATAAATGTGTACACGCCAGAAATCAAAGGAAATAAAAACAATAATAATAATAAACTTTGAGACCATCAAACCAGACATCACATCGTTAAAAAAAGAAAGAAAGAAAGAAAAAAAAATGAAGAAACAAGAAGATTCCTTCTTATCGATATGACTGTTCCTGGTGACCATGATATTAAGGGCAAAGAAATTTAAAAACTTAAAAAGTACCCCGACCTCCAAACTGACGTTCGGTCCTTTATTGTCCCAGTTATCTTTGTGGTCTATAATATCAAACTTAGTTCTGCATTAAGACAATCAGAATAAAGCTTAGGAAGTCTGCGATGCTTGGCACTACAAATAATCTATGAAAGGTGATATCTATCTGAGAGATCGTACGACTTGATGAAGAACATCCATTACGTTAGATCTCCAGATGAAAAAGAAAATATGTCCGCAATAAGAGGAGATGATGATGATGATGATGATGATGATGATGATGATGATGATGATGATGATGATGAAAAAGAATTTGTCAGTTTTAATAGATTTTTCCATTCCAACAGGCCACACGATACAATTGACAGAGGAAAATCTGGACAAATGCTGAGTGCATGCAATCGATGTGATGAAAAAAAAATTGAGGGAAATGAAGGTTGACAGAGGTACCCATCATTAGAGATTGAGAGAATTGGAAAACGGTGGCAGGATCGAAAAACATTCAGAAAAATGAGCTCGAATGCTGAGGAGGGTGCTGGAGTATTGAAGACAGTTGATGTCACTTGATTTCTACTGAAAGCCACAAGTTACTTCTTGGTTATATAACAGTAACACTAAGTGCAGAATTATCAATAATAATAGGAAGAGGAAGAAGTAAAGGAAAAAAGAAGAAAGAGAACCTTAAAAAGGAAATAAAGAGGGATGGAAACGGAAGGAAAGAAAAAAGAAACAGAATGTAATGCTCTACTAAAAAAGAAAGAAACAAAATCTTTAGAGAGAAATGAAAGAAAGAAGAAATCGAAAGTAATGATTTACAAAACAAAAGATTTAACGAAGAAAGAAAGAAAGACAGAAAACCTTTCGAGAAATAAAAATGTATGAAAAAAGAAGGAAAGAAAGTAATGATGTATTTAAAAAGAAAGATTTGAAAAGAAAGAAAGAAAGAAAGAAAGAAAAGAAACCTTTAGAGAGAAATGAAGGAAAGAAGAAACCGAAAGTAATGATTTACAAAAGAAAATATTTAACGAAGAAAGAAAGAAAGAAAATCTTTCAAGAAAGAAAGATGGTGAAAAAAGAAGGAAAGAAAGTAATGATGTATTTAAAAAGAAAGATTTTAAAAGAAAGAAAAAAAAAAAGAAAGAAAGGAAACCTTTTGAGAGAAATGAAAGAAAGAAACCGAAAGTTTAAAAAGAAAGATTTGAAGAAAAAGAAAGAAAGAAAGAAAGAAAGGAAACCTTTTGAGAGAAATGAAAGAAAGAAGAAATCGAAAGTAATGATTTACAAAACAAGATTTAGTAAAGAAAAAAGAAAGACAGATAACCTTTTTGAGAAATAAAGATGGATGAAAAAAGAAGGAAAGAGTGTGATGATATATTTAAAAAGAAAGATTTGCAAAGAAAGAAATATGTGACAGAAATGAATGAAAAGGGTCATGGTAAATTAACAATTAGAAGACAACGAAAGAAGAAACAAATAATAAAACAAGTATTACAATGAAAGGACGACTGCAACAGAAATATAGAAAAATATTTCAATCTTTTTGCTTAGTCTGCAAAATTTACGAAGAAGACACGCTTTAAAAGAAAGAAACAAAATCGTTACGATAAGTTTCAATGAAAAAGAAATGTTATAGGATGTCTGTGTGTGTGTTTAACAACAAAACTTTTGACAGGATTTAAAAAAAAAAAAAAAAGTCTTTTTGTGCTGTTCGATAAATAAACACGAATCAGGACGCAAAGCAAATTTTAATAAGATCAGAAAAATAGCGTCATACGACTTTCAGGGATAATATCGTACCATGTGTATAATACCGTACACTAAAACTTGAGATCAAACATAAGAGTAGATGATGTGTTTGATTATTTGATCACCTCACTATCAACCGTGCCGAAGATAAGTTTATATTTCTAATGTTATTGCATCCTTGTCATCGTTATTTTATTTATAAGGTTGATGTATCTTGAACAACAAAATAATGTTCAATTCTTTTGATCATGGGTTCGAGCCCGTTAACCCGCCTCTTACTTATAAATCAAATGTTATTAATGGTGTGCATATATTATAATAATCAACTATTTCTTACTTTCATTTTCTCCGTTGTATATTTAAAAGAAAAAAAAAAGTAGTGAGATTGTTCGCAAAATAAAGTAAAGTTAAAAACATGATTTTTTTTCTTTGTGGATATTGAGGAGGGTGCATCTTACCTTCAATAAAAGCCTGGGCAGTTGTTGTCGCAAAAAGTGTTCCCCAGACGAGGAAACTGTAAAAAATCTTGTACAATCGTGTAAAATCCGTGCGTCTGGTGTCCTGTCTCATGTTAAAGTAACCGCGGGTCGTTTGTTTGTTGTTAGTGAGACGTGCGCCGACCACTTTTAAATGCTGTGTATATGCGGTTTCCTTTCTCGGAGAGCATAAAATATAAAATATCAAGAGAGGTTGCATAAAACGTATTACAACTACTAAAAAACATACGTACATATGTATGTATGTATGTATGTATGTAGGTATAAGTTTGTGTTTAGGGAGTTTTATATGCAACGGTACAGTATGCACAACTTTCCTAGTTTAATGAAACGTATTGAATTTTAATAAGTGTATTTATTTGGTGTAAATTAAATATGTTGATAAATTATTAAATATATATATATATATATATATACATAAAGAGAGCAGATGATATTTATATATAATATGTAGGTAAAAATATATGCATGTGGTTTTTAAAAGTAATTAAATCGTTTTCCTTTTGTGAAATCAGCTTCATGTTTCGAGGTACATGATATTTTTAAAGAAAAATAAAAGAAAGAAAGAAAGAAAAATGTGCAAGTTTAAAAAGAAATATTTCAAGAAAGTAATAACTGTTTTTCTTAGTTACAATGTATGTTTAAAAAATAAAGGAGATTTTCAAGCGTGCGAATCAAGATTATTTTCTTTATGGTCTGATGAAAGTGTTCGTTTTTAAAATCAACCGTAGTTATATTGCTATCTCATTATATAGTGCCTGAGAAATTGTATAACAAACAGTAACACACACACACACGCACACACACACATACACACATATATATATATATATATAGATATATAAATAAAACAGAAAAAAGGCTAGTCTCTACTGATGTACATGAGTAAATATGTGTACGTGTGTTAAGTTTACACTGTGTATCTGTGTATGTAATTATTAGTGTGTGAAAACAAGAGTTGAATAAATAGTTTTAAGTCATATCGCTACGCTACGTTCAAAGTGGATAAGATACATTTGTTTTGTTTTTTTTTCTCCTGTGGTTGCGTCTGTGTCGTTTTACGGTTTTGCTTAGGTGTGCGCGTATTGACTTGGAAGAATGATATAGACTATATACAATATACAAATACGTGTACATTTGTATATTTACGTATTAATATATCTGTGCATCAGAATGTAATCAGGCCTTTAAGTATGTACAAAACCCGGGATATACTCTCGTACAACGTGGAAACCTATGCATATGCATAAAAGAGAAAGGCAGACTTTCGGTCGATTTTTTTTTTTTAGTCACTGGCCACTACAACTGCACCCTCGTTATCTACACACATTTTTCTGTGCGTGTATATTATTATGTGTGCGATGTAGTATGAAAGTTGTGCTTAGCTTGTATATATGTGTATATATTTGTGTATATATGCATGTAACACGCACGCGACTCTTTCGTTGTAAAGGTGAACGTTTGCGTGCGTGTATGTGTGTGATCAAGGCACGTCTGTCTCAGCGTATGTGTTACAAAGAAGCAAATTAAAAAAAGAGAGAAAAGAACACAAAACATACGTATACGAGAAATGAATGAGTTATGCGCTGGCTATGGGAGTGGGAGGGGTTTTACAGTGGGAGGAGACAAAAACGCGACAGGAGGGGAAAAATAAGAGAAAAAAAAAAGAAAGAAAGAAAAAAGAAAGGGAAAAATAAGGGTAGATAATTTGAACGCTGAAAAGAAAGGGAGAAGGAAAAAACAAAACAAAACAAAACAAAAAACAATGACAGACTGTTAGAGAAGAAAAAAAAGAGAAAATAACAGTAAAAAAGGGATTAAGAGAGTAGGTAAGGTAGATAGAGTAAAGTTGTAAGATGGACGGAGATTGACGGAAAGGGAGGAGTTTTGAAAATTGTTATATAAATAGGAGAATTGAGGAAATAGCCTTGTATTTCTCTTCGGAAGGCGCCTGTGTCGGAGCTCGGGTTTAAAGTACAAAACTTGAACGGAAATAAGACAAACACGCAATCATAATTGTAAATAAATACAATTCGATACATATGAATTAACAAGATCAAAAACGGAATTGTGAAATAAGAGTCAGGATATTGATGAGATTACAACGTCACTAATCAATTTTTACATTCCAAATCTTGATTTACCTCCCATATATTTTCCTAAGAATCCCTCACCCAGCCCCATAATATGAGTTCCCCTTTGGATTTGAAAAGTTATATATCACATTCACGACGCTATAAGTGTATCTGTGTGTGTGTGTGTGTGGGGGGGGCTTCAACACCCCCTCCATTTTTCTCCTGGAACTTATCTTCTTGGTCTCAATCTATGACAATGCAATTGAACCGAGCTGTATCCTTTGTCTGCTATTAATTTTCAAAATAAATTATGTAACTACGATTTCCGTTTTCCCCCCGAAACTTTTATAACTTTTATATAAGTCTTATATGTGGAAAAAGTCTACCGTAAATTTAGCGCCCCAACTCGAAGAAGCGCTACTCTTAGAGTTAGCGCCCCCTTTCCCCAAGGAATTTAAAATAAGCGCCCCCTCTCGGATAAGCGACCATCTTAAGTTAGCACCCACTTTCTCCAAGGAACTTAAAATACGTGCTCCCTTTCGAGTTAGTGACTCTAAAATAAGCACCCCTTCTTAAATAAGCGACTGTCTCGAGTTAGCGCTCTCTTTATCCAAGAATTTTAAAAATTAGCGTCCGCTCTCGAATAAACGGCCCCTTCGAGTTAGCGCCCCTTTCCCCAAGGAATTTAAAATACACACCCTCTCGAATAAGTGACCCTCTTGAGTTAGCGCCCCTTTCCTCAAGGAATTTAAAATAAGCGCCCCCTCTCAAGATAGCGCCTGCTTTTCCCCAAATGAATTTAAAATAAGCGTTCCTTCTCGGATATATTTGAGAAACGAAAGGGGGCGTTTACTTGGATTTGAGAGTTTAAAAACAAGACGTTAATTTAAACAAATATGCTTTCTTCTAAACATATGTACAGGTTCATATTTAATCTCAAAGTGTTTGTAGTTCTCCGACGCAGTGGGAGCTTGCAGCACAAACACTATTGGGGATGATGACACTGAGAATGATGAAGATGTGGCATTAAAGGACTTTTAACTATTTAATAAAATTATATATTAATATATTAAATAAAAGCGACAGGCTATTTTTGCTCTTGTTCTTAAAGTTGTATAAACAAAAATGGCTAAAATATATTATTTTTTAGAATAAGCGTTTTTCTCGATTCATCTGCCCCTTTAAACAACATCGAGTCTTTTACTTTTCCTTGGTTTTTTTTATTTACAGAATTTTGTTTATTGAATTACAATACCCTGGCATTCTAGTGAACTTTTTGTTTGTTTCAGTGTACTTCAGTTTATCTAATAAATAGTTATGAATGAAAACAAATTACTGTACACGTCTTCAAGTTCAAAAATCTATTAAATTTGTAAAACTCCTCTTTAAAAATAATCCATGTAAATGCATAATATGAAAAAAATATGAAGATTTTTAATAATATAGGCATCCTGTAGTTCTTAAAGTTGTATAAACAAAAGATAAAAATGGCTAAAAAATTGCATTTTTTAAAAAATAAGTATTCCGCTTGATTTAGCTTACTATCAATTTAAACGCACCATTTCAAATGAAATTTTAAAATAAGCGCCCCGGTTGTTAAATCGAGCATTTACGGCATGTATCTCAATCCAGAAAATAAGTCCAAACAAAAAGGAAAAAAGACATATTTTAAAAAATTATTGTTCACAGTACGATAATATATTTTAAAAAAAAATCCAAAGGCGGATCAGATATATATATAATGAAATGGACTGGGTCCGATAATTATTTTAATATATTTATAGATACAAATATTTAAGTAAATGCTCTGTTTATAATAAACAGTATTAACAACATTTGTCCGAGAAATTTCATAGAACATATGTATCTTCCGACAGGAATCGAACCTGTATCCTACATATAGCTTGACATGCTGTACCATTTAGCTAGAGAGTCTGGTTGACAACATCGAATTACTGCTTTTAAACTACAAATTTCCTATGATTCTCTCGAACGCTCTCTCTCTCTCTCTCTCTCTCTCTCTCTCTTACACACACAGACACACACACACACTAACACACATATATATAAACTGGAAAAGTTAACGTTTGATTTAGACCCCACCCTTCAACCCAACTTTTCATTTGTATACCCAAGCCTGCATCAGAAATTAAACGAAAGATATTGTCCGAAATACAAGTATAATTTATTTACAGTATAACAAATGCAAAAATTTCCGTGTTTAAAAAAAAATATATATAATAATAATAATTACGAATATATTTAATTTATACGAGAATGGTTTTCCAAAGTCTGACAATGCCTCGTTTTCACGACACTTCGTTTCCAAATTGTAAACTTTGCATCACACTTTAATATTTATTCAAAAAAGCTGGGCACGCTTAGCCCAACAAACCCAACATTTGTGCTCATAATATGAGTCTAGGCAAAGATACCTAAAATTAATATAAAGGAGGGTGATTTTGTCACGTAGAAAATGTTTGTGACATTAAATTAAAAGTAGCTCAGAATCCGAAGAGAGTTCAAAGAAAAAGTAAAGATGAAATCACTAAAGTCACGGAGACTTGCATTTAACTAATCATTCTTTTTTTCTCTTTTTTTCTCTCTGCTTTTTATGATTTTATCTTTCATTTGATTTGATTTGATTTTTATTTATTTTATTTTAATTTTAGCTTTTTTTCTTCTTTTCTCTCTATCCCTCGCTTCTTACCCACCTGTACGTTTGTTGGTAGACCGATCTCGCTCTTAACCACAAAATATTTCCAAGCGCAGAAATTTCTTAAATACATATTTCAATTTATGACCCTTTCAAATGTATGCTTTCTCACAGACGTTCTCAACTATCAAGTTTGAAAACAAGCAGATCCCACCCACACCAAATAAATAAACAAACAAAGAGAACATAAAAATAAAAATAAATAAAAAGAAAAAGGAAAAGTAAGTTTAAATAATGTGGCATACTAAAAAAATAATAATATATATATATATATATATATATATATATATATATATATATATATATATATATATATATATATATATAGGGAGTTCTAAAATTAAAGAAAAAAAACAAGGAAATACTTCCGTTTTATGAACAAAACGCAAGTAAAACAATTATTTATATAGTCAATGCAGACGGACAAGTATCATGAAAAAGAAAGGAAAACAATTATTATACAGTCAATGCAGACGGACAGTTATCAAAAAAAAAAAGAAAAAAGACAGATCAGAAAAAAGAAAGAAAAATTATTATACAGTCAAAAGAGTTGGACAATTATCATCAAAACCAAATAAAACTATTATTATGCAGTCAATGTATTCGGACAATTATCAACAAAAAGAAAGCTAAATAAATAGTTATCATGCGGTCAATATAGCCGGACAATTTTAACAAAAAAATGAGGAAATTAAAAGGAAAACAATTATTATACAGTCAGTGCAGTTGGACAGTTATAAAAAAAAAAGTAAGTAAAAATATTATTACGCAGCAAATGCAACCGGACAACATCAACAACATCAACAATAATAATAATAATAATAATAAAAATAATAAAATAAGAGGTATAGTTTCTAAATATATACATCTCTAAATTTATGTAAAATGTATTGGGTTGGTGCATAATTATCAGGCGTTTTTAAACAATATTTATTATGAAAAAAACAAACAAACAAAAAAAACATAACAATTCAACAACATTTTTAAATGATTATTCCGGAGGGTATGATTATTGACAAACATTTTTATAACCTGAAAATAAAATAATATTTTTATTAAAAAAAAAAAAGAACCAAAACAGTAATTTTTATTAACAAGTAACTCGGTTAAAAAACGCCTGATAATTATGCACCAACCCAATATTTGTAAGCGTTTATGAGTACATATATGTGGTTACATAGAGGCGCTTACATAAACATATACATATATATGCACGAGAGGAGGATGAAAGCGTTTGGTTATTTACATTATATACATTGTTCGGACTGTTTTCCTCATCGTTGTTGCTTTCGGCTGTTGTACGCTCCGGTCTTCTTCTTTAGGTGATTGGAAATTCGAACTGAACCCTTTATTTCGTCCATCGGGGTAGACTGTTCTAGTTCCACGTGCCATGCCTCTTCCGGGTGTCTCGGTTATCTCCCTTTAACTCAATTTTCCAAGCTTTTGTTCACCACTGCAGTAGCCAGATATTGAACTTACAACTCTTCGGGTCAAGTCACTGGATGCAACCAACGCTTTTACCCACTGGGCCATGTGTCCTTGTGGAACAAGAACGATCTAACCTGGTGGACGAAATAAAGGGTTCAGTTCGAAATTCCAAATCGCTTGAAGAAGGCCGGAACGTATAACGGCTGAAACGTTGTGAATATGACAATAGAGATGAGGACAACAGTTCGAACAATGTAAATAATTACAATACCTCATCTGAGAGATATAGACAGATATTGAAGGTTTTCGTTTTACCAAGAAGCAATGTCCATTCTCATCACAAAAAAGAAAAATTCTGATGTTTGGTCAGATTTTGTCACGTGGATTAGACCGATAACTTTTCAGCACGCATTCATATGTTTATATAAATATCATTTGAATTAAAACTTTTAAATTATGGAAAAGGAACCTTTTCTGAATTATATATGGCATGCCTCGTTTTTGAAATGGTGCCGAATATCTTATCGGCATCCGGCACCAGGGTTCGAGCTCAGGTAAATGAGAAAATTTTGTGTTATTTTTCAGCTTGGAAATCTATTCTCACTGAGAAATGTGTCGCTACTAAATCTTCTTCACATTTTCCACCTCATGCGTTTTAATTTTTACTAAATTACACACTCCCTCTCTCATTCCCTTTAGTCTGTCCCTTCCTTCCTTCCTATCTATCTATCTATCTATCTATCTATCTATCTATCTATCAGTCTTCGTCTATTCATATTTATCTTTGTCTATTCATATCTATCTATCTATCTATCTATCTATC